GTTGGAAATAATGGCTTGCTAAAGTGTGGCTATAGTTATGCGCCTTCTTCCCACTATAACTGGATTACAAATCTGCCAAACACCTGAAAAGTTGCACAGAATATTTTTCGGGTTCTCTTAAAAATCTCCCTCCCCCCTCGATCCCAAGAACACTATCGCCACTGACCCCACAAAAGAAGTCTTGATACCCAAATTTGCCTCTACATTGACATTACGGTGCCATTGAATTTGTTGTGGATAGACTAAGTGTTTTCGTACCAGTAATGCTCGTAAGATGATATCCAGTGCAAGAGTATACCGCGACAAACATCAGCGAGACAAATCACGCCAAGGTGTAAGAAATTTCACCTACTCTTCTTCCTCGGTTATTTGATGTAGTCCACGATCTAGCACTCTCCTCTCGTCTTCTTCCTCTTCTTCCTCATCAGCACTTCCGCTGGCGAGTAAAAGCTAAACACAAACATCAATAATTTAAATTATTGTCCAGATTTTTGGTGGTCAGGAACGGACATAATGTCAAATTGTTAACTAACCGTTAACTGATAAATTGTTGTAATTCATTGTAAATCCTAATACAGAAATTGTAACGACAAGTAAAACTTCATCCGCTTAAAAATAGAGGTGCTATAGACGAATTACAACTTATTTCTAGATCCCCATAAGACGAACAAGATACTGCAAATCAATTGAAAAAAATTGGAAAACTGAAAGAAATAAAAATAAAAATTTGCAATTTAATCAGTCAGATGAGGCATTTGAACTATAATCTATAACAAACCATACTCATTTTCTTTACGGCTTATATTTTTTTGGTCTTCGCAAGTATTTTTGTCTCGGGATTACGCATAATGACAATACCTTTTCTTTCAACTGTTGTTCCATCTGTTCAACAGCCTTTTCAGCTTCGGTCAAATCTTTGGGAAGTGGTGCGCTTTTGCGTAGATGTCTCATGCACTCTCGATACTCAGCTTCGATGTCGGCAGGAAATCTGGAAAAACAAACTCAGAATTCAAAAATCTTACACCTCAAATTAGTAAGATACAGTACCTCGGTGGCTCGACTGCCGTGGTATCCCCACTCTCGTCAATTACGGCCATGGGTTCAGTGGCTGCTATATTCACATGCCATTGCTCTCGCTTCATCCAATAAAATCGATGGAAATAGGTGAGAAAATAATCCATTTTCCGGCGTGCACGACCAGTTTGAAAGAAATCTGCTATGGTGTTCAACAGCTCGCAAACCATCCTCACTCGGTAGAATTCTTGCCATGATAGAGGATCGGTTTCAGGAAAAGAGATGATCTGATAGAGAACCTGGAACGGTATAATTTCCATCAAATGAGAAAAAGGTTCAAGCATTGATCGTGGGAGCAGGGCTCGGCACGAGCTGGCACCAGGAAAATTT